CCATTACAGACAAATGTCCTGTAATCTAGAACAGCTGGTACAAAAGAGGGAAAAAGATATGTGACAAATCCACATACCAGTACTATCCGCCTAAACTGAGAAGTTCTACTCAGGGGATGGACAGTAGGACGCCTTGCGCCCATGAAACTTATGCATGACATCCGCACATGTTACCTCTACTTTTGCCCCCGATCCACAAAAACGTCATTAATATGCAAACTGTTTAGCTTGGCATTCTGCCCATCTTGTTCTTGACACTCTGGATGCCTTACTGCTCTCTTGGAGCGGTGAATATTTCTGACCACTGTCTCTATTTTCAAATTGAAATATTTTCTTGGACATTGGAACTGTTTCTAGAAACCCAAACCTGCAGCTTCATGTATATACCCGCGCGCTGTGGCAAAATATATGAAATGCATTGCACCGCAAACTAGGCAGCATTTACCGTCTTGTCCCGAATGGGCTGAAACACGTCCAATGTGCTCCACGTAGCCAGCAAAGTGTGGTCTACACTGTGGGCATAAAAGGCAACTTTTCCACATCAGTTATTTTGTTTCCGAGTGAGTGGTGCGCTGCGGAATTAAAATTTTGCCGCCCAATTACTGAAAAAATTTAGACGTATCAGAATGCTTTCTTAAAATAAGTTTTTCAGACAATTATCTTATAAGCTGGAAATTCTGGTCATATTGTTATGAACAGGAGTCGTCAAAAGATTTCAGCAACATGTTTCCAAAATATATTATCAGATATGTTGGCTTCAGGTTTTTAAAAATAACTCTGCTCTAAAATAAACGTTCTTAAGTTTCACATGTAAAACTAATTTTCATAAAACAAGCTGACATTCATTCCGATTTTAAGGATATAGGTAACGACTTTCCTGCCCGCCTACCGTTTTGCAATGATGTTTAAAATACTATAACAGGTGGGTGGTGGTATAAGTGAATCTATAATAATAAACGCAAAAATACAGAACGGAAGTTCATTTTTCCGCTACTGCTGGAATGGTACAACGGGTTGCCATTAGTTCCACTTACAACCCTAAGAACTGCTCAAGCTCAGGGTCAGCTGTTGGTTAGCTAATTCCATCAAACTTTTCTGTAGGCTGTTGCTCCGCACCCTATGCACCACGCTATTCTGCTGGGTGTTTGTAAGTTAAATTACACACAGATGCAAGCTGGACACCGTCATTTTGACAGAGTAAAACTAACTGAATCACAGACAGACAACCGACTTGAGCTGGAAGCATTATCGAAGCTTTTCTTATACAGGGAACAGTAGATATAAGATGTTTGTTTCCGAATTCGTTGCGTCACTTGAGTTGGTGTAATAAACCTTAATTAGATTGCTACCATATCCTAGAAGGACGGGAATTTAGCAAGGTTTAATTGTTCGAAAAAAACTAAGAAAACTGACGGTACTAATTACATACATATCCGCCAAAGACTTGTCCAAACACAAAGGCGGGAACAGGTTTCCTTTCCACAATCCATCTACTGAACACATACGGTGTAAGATAAGATGCTAATTATAAGACATCTGATTTAGTCGAATATCTTTGGTAAATGAGCAGAACAATGTTTGCATGGTAAGATGAGGTTAGGATTATTTATTTATTTTATTTATTTATTTATTTATTTATTAATAAACCAGGGGAGAGAGAAGACCTTGATACACTTTTTGGGTTAATGTCGCAAAATTTGTAGTAAAAAATCTCTAAGCCTGGCTGACCGGGCCTAAACAATTAAGGGAATATACTAAACAGAAAAAGTGGCCGATGACAGTCTGATAATTTCACCTGGCCAGATGGGTTAGGGAGCAGTTGTAGCACGTTGCCCGGGTTCACTGGCACCAAATAAAATGTACGGGTTAACAGCTCTTTTCTGTTTGCTCAAACTCGTCTATATCAAAAACGCAAGGTGGGAACCCAAAATAATTCTAGGATTCATAACACAAACCTCAAGCAAAGTTGAAAAATTAGCTTTCAATATCAGAGAAATCAAGAAAAGATGCAGCTCGCATCTTTTGATAACAAAACTAGAGTTTTTTCCTGGCAAAACGCGCACCTCTGGATGCCCGTCGAAGTTTGAGCTGTTCTATAAAGCTCACTAAATTGAACTGACCACAGGCTCCACGGCTTAAACCACTTCCTATAAAGCTCAGGCGTCCAAAGACATAGGGAACAAACATTTGTAGCTTTGTAGGTAGTGCAAATAGACCTGAAAAATTCCAACGGAGATTTTTTGCGATGCCGATGTAGAGCAGGTAATTTTACCGAATTCTCCTGGCACACTTTAAATCTGGTATTTTTAATCCTTGTGTTCATATTCTTGGTAACTTTGAAAGCCTCAGAAGTTTGTTGTTTAAGTGCATAGATCCTGTTGTTGATAATACTATATGAATTTTGCAGTTTCCATGTCTGCCAGCTGATTCCTCCTATAGTTTTGACTAGATGACCCTTGGGTGTTTTTCTGTCGCTTTCTCATATCCACAGCAACCGCTGGATCGGTACCAAAAATGATAGTGCAACCGCATTAATTCCTATCCCTTGAGGTTCCTGTAAAGTTACCAACTGATCTCCAAATAACAAAATCACGGCAAATGTTCCAGTCTCACCTGCTTCATTTCCAACGTGCTACAATGGTTTGAATAAATTTAGTTAAAGTACCGCAAGCCATTAAGCTGATTTCATGCAACCTGGGCTTTTGTTACCTTTCGCCATTTGTCAAGGCTTTGCTTCTGCCAGTCAAAAAATGTAGGAAGATGGTGATCTTGAAACGTATCTAATCTACAAGGATGTGGTACGAATCAAAATTGCATATTCAGACCGTTTTTCAAAACACTTGTTGGTTAGTGCAAACTCCAGCAGACTCATCATTACGCTTCTCTCTAGGTCACAGCAATCATATTACAAGATAGTAACGAGCTACCGTCTGGTTCTCCACACCGTCAGCCACTTACCGAGTTCATCTCCGAGATCTGTGCAAGACTGCTCTACCGCAGAAACTGACGAATTCACCGAGTGTCAAATACGCACCACTGAGCCCGAAAACCGAACAAGTCTTGTAGCCCACGAGGAAAAGAGGGGGTATCTAACAAAGATTTCTTCAGATTCTGAAAGTGCTTCTGGTCTTATGATGCAAATTTTATTCGGACGCCTGCCTCTTCGAATCGGAATATTATGAAGCTACCCAGCTGCTAAATTTTCTAATGGAAGGATTCTATAAATGCTCAAATTAAGCGGCATCCTCAAGGTATGTAAACGCGATATTTAGCAGTTACAATGGTCGCTGGCAGATGACTGAAATACAAAACAATGGGACGTGAATGTCATTTGATGTCACATGTACCATGCACCACGTACGATAACTGAACTCTCCTCTAGTGTGGAACAATTACTAAAATCCAATCTTTACGTTTTTAACAGAGACTGTGCCCCCTAATGACAAATGAAGCTCAAGACCATTCTAGGTTATACCCGTCCACGATAATGTCTGACGAATAGAAACATAGGTGGCGAAAAATAAGATGCATTGAAACAATGCATGCCACCGAACCAGCGTGGTTCGGTGGTATTTATTAACATGCATGGATAAAATATATTGTAGAACATAAACGTCTCAATTGCCTGTGCACTACGGCGTGCCATCCAGTGCCAGCCCTGGTTCTCAAGCCACTCTGAACAACACTTGGTTTCAACCCGAAAAACTATTCATTCTTAATACGTTTGCGGAAATGAATCAAACTGATAAGGGCTACGAAAACTGTCCACCGTGAGTAACCAGATGTGATAAATTGTTGCGTTTACTTCATCTACACTTCATAGAGGCCATTTACAAAATTAACTAATCAGGGTGAGAACGCTACACCAATTTGAAAGACATCAACTGCTAAAACTTTGTGTTGTTCCCTTCGCTGCTGGTTTCAGGAAACGTGAGTCTTTGATGCAAAACTCTGTAAATCTTTTGAATCGTTGGTTCCCAGAATTCATTAAAATTTATAGCGAATAACCGTGGCTGACCAACTTTGTTTGTTCAGGTTCATTAAACTATCCTTACCAGCTTAATATCTAAGAACAGTATGGCTAACGTGCTCTTCGTCTACGCAAAAATTAAGCCGCAGGCCACTGACCGCGACTGCTTGGTTCAAAGCCATCAATACCTTGTCGGCTACTATTGTTTGAGTATACATAGGCTCGCTGCCTCCCTTCCTTAGGACCTAAATCATGTTATTATTCTCATTATAGCTGAGCCAAAAACGTCGTATAATTAGGAAAAGAGATGTAATGAATCACAGGTCTATCGGCGGACAGCGTCTAGACTAGGTCACATGTTACTACAAATGTCCAACAAAAGACCGATTGCTTTTTTGTGTAATACTGTTGAATTTACCCTGGGATAATGTGCACGGTGAGTGTAAGTCAAGAATTAGCTGCACTAAGTCTTATAAAGCTGACTAACTGATAATAAAATACGCTGACAAATGCCATTTGTTGCCTAAAATTCTCCATTTGGGTTCATTAATTAATCACAGTACGGTCTACCATTTTTATTACTCTCATATGTACTTTTACGTACCTCTTTTACTTTTCACTCTTGAATCCATTTTTCACCGTTTCATCGCAAATAAACAGGAAAGCTTGACCCCGATTTATCGTAGTATACGGTCACACTCACCTCTTGCCCTGCACTTTCGTGGTTTGACCGAAGTACAATATTTTGCTTATTTTATCGCTGAGTTACACAGCAATATTAGCATTAAAAGCGGAACCTTATCACAACTGTTGAGCGGCTGATGCTGCCGCCGGAAATGTTTCGTCTCTAGTGGAGGTATTCGCTTGGATTGACATGTGAGATATCAATAATGGTCCCTGATGAGACTTGTGTTACCATAGACAACTGAAGGAAAATTTGAATCGTCCGCCAGGAGTTTAAGGTCGCAATCGCAGCAAATTGTAAAATTGTAACTTTTTACGCAACTTCACACTTTTTGGTCAAACTCACTTCGAATTTGTGGATCAACGAACTCCTCCAGTCCAAGTATCCTTACCGTGGTCCGCCCAGCCCTCGTCCACTGGATGCCAAAAATGGAAGATGTATCCTCAGAATTTCTTGGACATGTGAAGAATACTGCACCTCCTTGGACAGTTTGCTGAACTTGGATATTTGAAGACGTAGACTCAACATCTGAAACAAGAAGAGCAACTTACTACTAGGCATTTGGTCGGGGTGGATTCCCGAAATTTTGGTCATGAACGATTGCAAAAATCCATTCGGGTAAGGAGCACTAGATGCGATTAAAGCTGTTTTCATCAACTACTCTAGGTACATTTTCACCAACATTTTCTACGTACATGTTACCCACAAAGTACCAACTGGTTCTTTCAAAACTCAACGACTTCAGACCTCAGGTAACCCATTTGGGACCCATAGTTTGATGATCACCCAGTAAAATATTGGTTCTAACTATCTGGTCATCTCGGGCACTGATTTAACCTAAACGTGCATGGACCACTTGAAAAAAATTAATCAATCTTACTACTGTCTAATAGGAAAAACCCAAGAAAATAAAAAAAGGCCGCTAATAAGCAGCTACTTCAACATAGATTGCTTTCAGCAATTGAGAAATTTTCCGTCCAATATAATAAGGTTGTGCATCCATTAGGTACACACCCAGACCAAGCTTTAGGAAACGAGCGGAAACATTCGGTAACTAGCCACCAGTTGTAGGCACTTAACCGACACCAGTATATTGTGCTTGTAGGGTTATATATGTTTCACGACACCTTTCAGTAGTTTGCCAAATGATAATAAAGGGGATTGGTTTGACATTAGCACTTTTACTTGAGTGAATTAAGCATGTACTTGTTAAGGTTACCCGCATGACTGAGTGCGCGAACCGATCACAACATTTTTTTGTTTGGAGAAGGGCATACTCTTTATCAGAGGGTGTACGTTTCATGACTGAATTGCCTTTTGCTTGGTTAGACGTATACTTACAATCCATCATCCGTAATCCTTGTATTGGATGCTAAAAGCACACAAATTCCAAACACAAGCTTTTGTATTGAGTTATGTATTCCTTTGACACTCTGCTACAGCTGGCTAAAAGTGCACTAATTATACAACTCCCGTACTGCGCGGAAAGTTTTTTTTCTGTCAGTAATGTTATGTACTAACTTATATGATTTAGCTTTTCACTTGAGAGTTCGGTCACACAAACAGGGATTTCAGTACCCGACAAATTTGTAATGAACTGATTATCAATGGGTTACAATTGCCTGATTTTCAACCTACCAAACTCCTGTTGCCTCAAAAGTGACTTTACACCAAATGGTAAACAAAACAACTAACTAGCTAAAGGGTGTTCAGTGAAAATGATGAATGGTTGCTGCGCACTGATCAAGAAAATACTGGCTGACTAACTGTGGGAAAACACGCAATTTGCCTTTCACTTATCAAGCATGCAATGTTTGGTGGTGGTTCTATTTATAAGCACCCCACAGTTTTAATTTTACCCCAGGAACTGCCTGTCTAAAACACAATTTCCCAAAGCCTCCACAGGATGGTAATTACCAAAATCAACGGATTGACCAAGAAGGAATAGACGTGTGAAGACGTTTCGTCTCTCTCGACAGAACGCGATCACAAAGCATTCCCTGCTCAAACATTTATTGCTGTCCCAAATTTTCGTAGCACAAGACTTGATATTTAATACATCGGGTTGTGCAGCTGTGTCGCTGTTTGTGATTGTCTTATCCACCCATCTGAGTCAACAACAAAGAGACTTCCAGAAGTCTCAGCCTTGACGTTTTCATCGCTTTGTGGGCATTCCGGCTATTTATACCTCAAAGGACAAGTATTGAACAAGAGTAAACGAAGTCCCTAAAAACATTATAACTGGCCATGTCAGTAAACGAACTAATGGGGCCTGGGCATGATGAAGACTTTTTCGGTACTTCATCATATGTTCGTACGTGGGAGCAAAACACGGCACCTCTCAATTGTAAGCATAGCAACCAAAATTTGAACTCAGGTATAGGCGGCTTATGCTTTACGCTGCAACATCATCGTATTCTTTACTCTGCAGATGATCACTTCAAGCAGTTCCACAAACCGACAACATTAGTTGGCCCCTAGTGAAAGACAAATTTCACGTCGAAAACTTTGCCTTACTTCAAGCAGTTCCGCAAACCGACAACATTAGTTGGCCCCTAGTGCACGTATCAGTCGGGACCCACCCCTGTGTACGCTATGGTATATGGAATGGAATAACGGTAGTCAAATTATTAGACTGTGCTATCCACGCGCTTGTTGTCACTAATGTAAGATTTCGCCTCGAGAGGCCGCACGTGGACACGACTACGTAGCAGTTCTTCTAAGCTATTCGGTTACGTTATCATTGGTTGGCAGAATAATCATGAGGTGTGCCCCACGTTAATCAAAAAATAATTTACCAACTATAAGCCGTCTAACATAGGCACACTGGCACGCTGCTACAGTTTCGATTACCTGAAAACGAGACAGTGCGGGACATACAGCCAAGTATTGGAGACGATGACATGTTTGGTTCGGGAATCGGGTAGCTACGCATGGAAATCGATCGCTCTGATGCACGAGTGCCACTGGCTGCGCGATTGGGCCACTTCTGTCACGTGAGTGATACACGAAGTCAACTACGGAATACACTAATAAGATGTCCGAACAAGGACTGAGGTTCAAATTCCTCAGTCACAATACGTCAACTAAACCAGTGAGTGCACGTAAACTAAAACCAACCATCTTAAAAACCCGAAATTCAGTTTGACAAGCATGCATCAACTGGTCCGCGTAACGATGGTCTTTAGATAATCCAGCCCGCTGATGAAAGCGCGGCACAATCTGAAGCATCAGAGAATGAATTGAGAGTTAGCGGGATCGAAGCCTTGAATGGTTTGGCAGCAACAACCAGCAAGTGCTATAGCTGGCAGCCAAAAACCGAGCCAAACCCCATGTCCATCCAAAAAATTAATTCAAGAAAGAATAGCTAAACGATGTTTCGTTGGTTTTCCAACGGACACTTGGTCGTTACCTGATCCGCATGCGGCTCAACGCGAGCTGTATGTGACATTACCGATTGTTTACCAGTATTCGTCAGCGTAGTTTGATTTAACAGACCAAACCAGAGGAAAAATTGGTAGTTTATATCGATTTTGCCGGGTTTGCAGAATATATCTAGCCAGTCGATCCATCCACCTCTGCTTTCTTGAGTGAGGGTATGGTTTCGTTCTCTAACAATCGTTTTCGGTCATGTTTCCATAAAGAAGGTCTCATATACATGGGTATAGGGGCAAACTTGTTATAGTTGTATTTCTGAGAGTAAAACTGTCCAGTGCAACACGAGCGATTTTTGAAACACCTAAACGACGTACAAGTATCGCAATACTCGGTAGTTACAATGAAACACTAACAAAATTAACACACTGACATTTGGCCAAATCATCGGTAAGACTTCTGCTCAGGGATATTCTAATACTTCAGCTTTACTTCCTCGCCTTCCAATTTATCAGCGATTCAGAGTATCTAGCAAATCTTATGCATCATCAAGCCTTCTGACCATCCTCGGAGAGAAGTATGTACTGTGCAACTTTCGTTATGATGAATAGAACTTGGATTGTCATTAAATACTATCTAATATTTCTCAGTCTGCAAATAAGTCGGATTCCGCAAACAGAATTAGCATGCATCTACTCAAGCAAATAGCAAAATTGACAAATACTTTTGTAGCAAAATTTCTTGCGTTTGATTTTCTACATTGAGTTCATCCTTTATTCATTGAGACCTTGTGCAGTATTTAACGGTACACATATGAGAAAAAACTTGTAGCTTCTTACAGGGTTTTCTCAAACCAAAGTGAGTTATGCACAGGTTGATGCGCGTCCCAACTCTGTAACATATTGAGATAATGTCTCAATCCAACCTAGTGAACAATATTTTGTTGAAGGCGGGGGTTCTAATTTAACCTGAAAGCTAGGGTAAAAACTTGCGAGTCAGGAGGATCTCAGCACAAGATATACCAAAACATATTGTCATGGAGTGACCAGCATAAATTGGTTGGTAAATCAATGACATGTAGAAAGCCCTGTTGAGTGCCCAGGTAATATCGGCAAAGACGTCTCCACCATCCAGTCTACTGGGCAAACAACTAGACTAAGGGATGAGAATGGAATTCGTTTGTTATAGATAGTCTGAGAACATATAAGAAAATCTACTCACAATTATATTTTCATCGGAATTTTCAGTTAGCCAACTAAACCGAAACAGTTTTCAGGGCTCGGCTGATCTACTCCGCAGAATCAAAAAACTACTGAGTTATCGGACAGCCATAATATTCGTTCCCAACCAAAACTACTATGCCATTCCGCAGTAAAATTTGAACTTTCAGGGAAATTTTTCAAAAAAGCACAATGTTGGGAAACAAGACTCTTGTTACCCCAACTGTTTCACTTCTACAATATATTTGAAGCAAGCAGTGACCGTTCTGTTCAACTCGCAACAAAAAAACTGTGAATAATTGTGGATGTTTTTGCATTTAATGGGACCGTCTTAGTATAAAATCAGAAGGGAGAGGGCCGTCAGGTCCCAGTTGCTTGAAGCAATCTAGAGTGCGGAACGAAATCACCCGTCTTTTGTCTACATCAGCTGGCTTGCCCGTATGTCTACCTCAGAATGAAAAACTACATAAAAAATATATGAACCTTATCGCTCCACGTGTACAGCCAACAATACTGCATTAATCAACGCTGGCCTACACATTCTAAACCCAGTATTCTTCATACAGTTTCTCGTCGGGAAGGCATGGAATTATTTAGCATGATTGTGGCAAGAATATATTCGCTAAACATGCCTGAAAAACGAATCCATACCAGGAATAAACAGCAAGTTCCAGCCTCATATTTTTCATTAACTATCGCTACCCAAGTCAGATCATCGATGGTTTTGCGGACAAATGGGGGATGAATATTAAGCGGTCATAATTTTAGGTGAGTGACACATTAAGAACCGATAGTCTTACACAAAACTAACGTATTTATGGAGAGCCTGAAGAAAGGACTTTTTAACCTAACAGCTGGCGCGCAGATAGGTCAAATATGGTAAAAGTGGTGTGGTGAAAAGAGCAACACAACTTTATTTTGTACTTGCGGTCA